CTAGATGGCCGCTTGTTTACCTTCAAGCCTTTAAGACCCCAGATGCTATATCTTTTGATAGCCGTGCACCATCAGCTTTCTTTGCCACATTTACTTATGCACCCACTTTTTCTTCAGCAGTTGTGTCAGGTAGGTGAGCATCATAGAATGCCAATTTAATAGAAGAAAGCACTCTTGCATTGAGGGAGTACTTGAGTAGAGGCCCAATGTCCATCTGCTACCTTAATACTAAACCTATAAATATAGGCACACAGATCTATTTCCCTATCCTCATATATAAATATATTTGCATATACACATGCCTTTATTTAGACCTCTATAAATGCCCTTTGCCTCCAAGCTCTTTCCTCTTATTTCCTTTGACTTTCCTCTTGTCCTACTATCATGCTCAGTTGTCATTTGGGTTTCAGTAATTCCTCTTGGTTACATTACCCTTGATCATGGCCTACCAGGACTCCTACACCCACCTCACCACCAATTTGGATCACTTGTTGTTCCCTTGTCCCTCGGTTTGTTAACAGCACTACACCCCCTCCCCACTTTCCCCCTCTTTCATGTCCCCCCGGAACTGTCTGTCCTGTTGTTTTCTCCTCCAGATTGTTCATCCAGCCGATCTTATTTAGACAGACCTGCGGAGAAACATGCACAAAAACAAGACAGAGCAAAACCAAGCAACAATATGCAACAAAACAACAACAACAAACCAATGACAAAAACAAAACAAAACACAGCAAGAAAGAAAAGCTTGTAGTTAGTTCAAGGACTGTTTGTTGACCTTTAGGAGTGTTTTCCAGTCTAATCTGTTGGGGCACCACACCCTGGACCCAAAGTCTACCTTCAGCATACCCTGGGGACCTTGCCACTCCGTTCCCTTGCTGTTCTGTTGCACCCCCTAAGTGCTTTGCATCAGTGTGGCGAGATCAGATCGGGTGCAATTCCCATACTGTGTCTCTGGTGGTGTCCCCCATACAGGTCTTTCTAAGTCAAATTTTCGGTTTGATTATCGAGCAAAGTTATAAAACTCGATGAGTAGTGGAAAGTTTGAGCTGGGAGCCATTCAACAGCCCAGCGGTCACTGTTGATTCTCCTGCCTTTCTTCCGGAAGCTTCACCGAGACCTGGCTGCCATAGGTGATCATGCTGGCATTTGAAATGCCAGTGGTATGGCTTCCAGCATCATTGCCTGTTGGGTGGGGTAAATCTGAGTGATGGATGTTCCTGAGTCTTTTCTGAGAAACACGCCCCAGCTATCCCTTCACTTTTGGCCCTGACCATGTTCTCTTGACTGCTTGATCGCTTTCTCCAGTCACTGCATCCCTTCCCAGCACCACCTACTCCAACGCTGTCCTCAGGGGCTGGGCTTTGCATCAGCCTGTTGACATGGAGCCCAGCGCTGCACACACAGGTGACCTGGAAATCAACAAATGGGATTTAATAAGAATAAAACACCTGTGCACCTCGAAAGACTTCACCAAGAGGGTGACAAGGCAGCCCACAGACTGGGAGAGGATTTTTACTAATGACATATCAGACAAAGGGCTCATTACTAAAATCTACAACACTCTCCTGGCCTTCAAAAAGAGGACAACCCCCTAAGGAAGTGGGCGAAAGAACTGAAAGGAACTTTCACTAGGGAGGAGACCCGTATGGCCAGCAAACACAGGAGAATGTGTTCCTGTTCATTAGCCATAAGAGAAATGCAAATTAAAACAATCACGAGATTCCAGCTAACACCCCTAAGATTAGCCCACATCAGAAAATCAGAGAGCAACAAATGTTGGAGGGGATGTGGTGAAATAGGAAATCTCCTCCACTGCTGGTGGTCGTGTAGCTTTGTACAGCCGCTATGGAAAGTGATCTAGCAATATTTAAAGAAATTGGAAATTGATCTACCTATGACCCAGTCATCCCTCTACTGGGCATCTACCCAGAGGAGGTAAGAAATAAAACCAGTCATCCACGCTCCAACATTTATTGCAGGGCAATTCACAGTCGCAAAGAGTTGGAAACAACCTACATTTCCATCGACAGATGAGTGAATAGGGAACTCTGGCACATACACACACTGGAGTACTATGCAGCACTGAAAAGCACAGATGATCACATGAAACATGTCGTTTCATGGGAAGAGTTGGAAGGAATTATGCTAAGTGAGGTAAGCCAATCTCACGAGGACAAGTAAAAGATGAGTCCCCTGAGGTAAGTACAATCAGCCCAGCAGGAAGAGAAGAAAAGACACTTATCTCACAATAGACGGGTGGAAGCATAGGCAGTCAGGGGAAGGTCAGACCAAACCCGGGGAGGTACATGTGAATCTAACCTAAAGAAGGGTTTCAAGGGAGAAGGAGGAGGAAGAATGGGGGGGGGGAGAAACTGAGATGATGACATGGGGGGAACAGGGCACTAACCCACCCAGGGGGAGAGTATTGGTTGTGTCCCCACAGAATTGGAGTGTGCATACAGACCCCACCATGGCACCGCAAACCAGAAGGGCAACGTAACCATGCAGAGGAATGCATGAAAAGACTGGACTACAGGGCCAGCCCCAACGAGAGCCAGCCTGACCCCCACCCTGGAAGTGTGTGCCACAGAGAAGGGCACTAGACCTTTAGGTGGGGGAAAGGAAATGACCTACCATAACCAGACGGAAGCAAACCAAGAAGGGAAAAAGAGAAAGGGACAGATGGCCTAGACTCCATCTAGGCACACCACGCCCAGAGGATGAGGTCCCTGCTTGGAGCTGCTTAGTCACAGAGAGGACTGTGGGTCTACCAACAACTCAAGACATGCTGTCCCTTAACCCATACAGAGACAGGGGACAATAATGGGGACACACAGTGGGGAGACAGTGTGGGAATGGAGCTTAACAGATCAGCAATTAGAGAAAAAGTGAGCCACAGAGTCCCTGAGGAGCCCCAAGAATGGACTTTGGGCTAGGAGGGGCAGCCCCCAGATCACCCTTAGGAGGGAGGGTCTCACAGGGACCAGCAAACAGACTTGGACTTATGTAGGGTGTTTTTTCTTTCTTTCTTTCGTTCTTTCTCTGTTCCTCTCTTCTTTTTCTCCTTCCTTTTCTTTCTTCAACCGTATGTTTTCTTATTGTTCGGACAAGGACATGGATGGTTTGCTTAATTATATGAGTTGGACATGGGAGGGAAGCCGGGGAGAAGGCAATGGGGCCAATGGCTCCGGAAGGTAGAGGGGGAGGAAGGAGGTGGGGAGAAGGGTGTGATGAGCTGATGGTGTCAGGGACAGGGGAACAACTAGGGAAGTGGAACCAGCATCTAAGAGTGGGTAGAGATCCTGTGAGTATTAGAGCAACAGCAAGCTAGTGAAGAGGAAGCACTAAGAGGTGGAAGAAGAGGGGAAGTGACGGCGGGGCAGGAGGAGGCAAAAGGACACAGAGGCAAGCTCTAGGAAGCAAAGGCATAGAGAGGGAGATTAACAGAGGTGTGCACTTATGCAAATACATTAATCCACAACGATAGTGGTATTGGCCTAGGTACTTATATTTTCAAGGCAGTATACACTGAAGCTGCAGATGGGCCTTGGGCCTTGGCTCATACCCTCCCTCAAAACAAGAACACTTTCTTCTAACAAATTAGCATTCTGTGATGCTCATCCCCCACCCACATGATCGCTGAAGACAAAATGGGTGCATAAACAGATGCAGTGAAGACAGACGATGGTGCCGCTAGGGTCTTAAAGGCTT